GGGAGTCAGACGGCTTGGGCTGGAACCCTGGCTTTTCCATTTATAAGCTGTGCAACCTTGACCAAGTAACCCAACCTCTCTGGGTCTGAGTTTCCTCATCTGTACAGAGGGCATAATAATCATACTCACTTAACAGGCTGTAAGAGGATGAAGTTGGTATTGAAGTGTGCTTAGGATGATATCCCCGCACAGACTGTTCTTGTTAAACAAACAAGGCCAGTTTCCTTCTCATGACCAGTATTTGGTTCAGGAACGGACATGTGACTGTCTCCAGCCAAACAAACACACACGAGAGGGAGCTGCCCAGACTTCCGTGAGAAAAACACCGCCCTCCGGGCAACAAGCAGGCCCCTGGCCCTCAGCGCGAGGCCTTCCTGAGTCACCGTCCTACCAGCCTCCCGGCTAAGGTGGGCGGGGAGCTGCCGGCAGGCGTCCTGCAGACCTGGGAATTTTTGTGACGTTAAGAAAAGCTGCAGCGTCCTGTGGGCGGCGGCCGTGCCAGTGCTACGGCCGGCCTGGCGAGATGGTCTGCGGGTGCTCACACCCGTGCTGGTCTTCGCGGCTTCCCTTGTGTATTCTGGGTCGATGCCATTTTTAGCAAGGTCTCCCGTCCCCTGATTGTCCTGCGAAGTTCGCAGGCCCTCCGCCCGGCCCACTGACGCCTGGTGCACGGCACGGCTCAGTCTTTGCTGTCCTGCGTCCTCCCACAACATAGCAAGGTGCCTGCAGGCCCCCCAAGCCCTCGTCCTCCTTGCGCTCGGTGTTTTGGAGGCGCGGAGCGGTCCCCGCAGCGCCGAAGCCGGCTGCCTGGCGGACTCACCCAGAGAGTTGGGGCGACAGGCCTTCCCCCTGGGCTGGGCTCTCACTGCGCCTGCTGTGCACGTGCCTGTTTGGGGTCACGCGAGGTCATGCATGCGCCTCACCGCTGGCGCGCTATCACCTCCCGTTGGCTGAACCGGACCGCGTGACCACCTAGGAGTGTGAGCGCGCGGCCACGCGCCAGGCCCTAAGCAGGTCCCCACGTGGGCGCGCTTGGGGTGTGAACCCGACAGCCCTTCTGGTGCCGTGCTGCCCCTGAGGCCCGGCTGCCCTGCCAGATGCACGTTTGAAATGTAGATTCTTGGTTATTCTGGAACCCCTGTCAGTGTCCCTTTCCCTGCTAATCACTGCAGCTCCGTCACCACCGGAGAACAGCAGGAGAGGTGGGGATACGGGTCACGGAGCATGTTGCGGAGTTCAACAGATACAAATAAATAAATTGATTCTAGAAGTAACGCATGAACGCGTCCATTATAAAAGCCTACCAGTGTACAAAATAAAGATACAAACTCACCTTTCGCTCTGCTTCCCTGTAGGTGGGGAAGCACGATTCCTCCCTGCCCCGGCCCTTGCTGTCCCCAAGGGCAACTGCCCCCCAAATCCAGCGACCCCAAAACTTCCATCCTGTGGGCTGGTTAGGAGGACTCCCCCTCCATCCAGGCTGCTGATGCCTTCTGGAGACTCAGAGATGGAGGTTCCTAGCAATACACCAGGATCTCTCGAGCTGAAGTGCGATCTGACCTGGCAAGTGGGGGGCAACAGCCAGGCCATGACCCTCAGGCTCGCCCTTTCATAAGGGCAGAGCCCCCATTCCCAGGAGCCAATGGGCCATACCATCCCATAATAGGCAAGTGTGTGATCTGTAGGAGCAGAGTGCGGGAGGGTCGGGTCGGATGAAGTCAAGAAGGGGATCGAAGCAGGCTGGCAGGGCTCACGGAGGCTCTTCACAGCCCCCTGAACTGGACTAGACCCGCTGAGAGTTTCCCGGGGGCCGTGCCACTCTGGGACTGTCCCTGTGGCCCCTCTATCCAGCAGCTGCTGACAGTGCAGAGGGGGAGGAGGTGAGGGCCCCCTGGGAGGTGAGGGGCTGTTCTCAAAAGCTGGGGAAGAGCTGATTGGAGAAGAGGAAAACTCCCCCAGCGCCAGAGGGGCGGAGGGGCGGGCACACCTGAATCAGCCTTGGCTCTGCCATCTGCAAGGTGTGTGGCTGTGCCCTGAATGTCCCCACTCCCTAGGCACTGTGGGGACGGTAGTCATCTGTGGCTGCCAGTCATGCTCTGGGGCCATGCTCAGAGTGCCCCAAGGGGCCAAGCTCCAGGTGCCATGGTGGTAGCTGGCTGGAAAAGCACCCTTTAGTGGCTGCCTTCCCTTCTGTCTCACGTTTCACTTCCCTGATAAGGGTTTCTTTCACGTCTCACATACTTACACCAGAAACCTTAGTCAGGGGAACCCCAAAATGAGACAGTAATAGTCCTTCCCTGGGTCAAGAAGGAGGTGGCACGGCATATAGGGCTTAATAACATAAGCAGCTTCTTGGGCTACCGAAGAGACATGTGCTACAAGCTTAGGCTGCAGGGACAGACGCAGGAAAGACCCTACATCTGGGAACAGGAGATGCACGTTGGACTAACGAGCTGTGTGGTTTTGGTGACGTCACTGAGTCTTTCTGTGCCTCCATGCCCACCTTTGGCATGGTGATGGGGACCTGATGACCTGTAGAACCCTCTGGTCCCCAGGACTCAAGAATCCTGCATGCTGCTTCTCCCCGCCTGCAGCTTTCAACAACTTCTTTATGTGGTTCATCTATTTATTATAACTTTTTTATTTATTAATGTTTTCAAGGCAGAGAAGAAGTAGAAACAGGCTTGCCTCTGAGGGGCAGGCTCATGTTTTTTGTATGGGCTCAGGAAAACATGGTATGGTAACACAGTCCAAGTTCTATCATTGAAAAAGAAACAAATGATTTTCTTTATCCTATTTATAACTGACATTTGCTCATACTTGGCAACAAGATAAAGTGGGAAGTGGACGGACCCAGGGGTCCAATGATCTGGGTTGAATGTCAGCTCTGCCACTTCCTCATGGTAGGATGCTGGGAAAGTTTATTCATTCAACAAATATGTATTTGCAGGCATGTGCCAGGCAATGTCCAGGATTTTAGAGAGTAAATGGTGAGCAAGATGGGGAGCTCCTGTCTTCTTGGTACTTACTGACTAGTGAGGGAGAGATACTAATCAGGTGACCACACAGAGGTGCGTATACACCGTGAAAGGAACTTTGAAAGGTAAGGACAGGCTGATACAAAAGCAGTAGGCAAGGATACCTGGCAGGTCTGCAAGATGTGCAAAGGTCTCCTTGATGAAGTGATGCTTGAGCTGAGATGTAACTATGTGTAGATAGGTGTCTGCCAAGTAAGGAGTAGAGCATAAAAATAAAAATTTCCACACACACACACACACACACACACACACAAACCTACCACACGCAAAGGCCCTGGGGCAGAAGAGAGCCAGCATGGCCTAGATATACCTCTGGGAGTGTTACTTACTCTTTCATTAGAAACAAAGGAATACATATAAATAGGCACCTGTCTAGGGTCATTGTGAACATCAAATGGAATACTGCATGGGAAAGTGCCTATCAAGTGCTTGCTGTTTCCAGTCTTGAGAAAGCCAGACGGACTCTGAAGTTCCTCATTCTGGGGACAGGAAAGCATGGGGGAGCTGGGTTATGGGTCCCAGGAAAATGCTTACTTCATGCTGCCTCTATTCCATGTGGGTCGTGTGCCTTTTGCTTTAATCCATTTATTATTCTAGTCCCATGCTGAAGGTCACTGGTTAGTATCACTTCTCGGGTCTTTGTTTGCTTTAGTTTTGAGAATAAGGAGTAAATTATTCAGGCTCCCTGCCATAGCTTCTTGCCAAGCAGTTCCTGGAGTCTGGGGACTTGCCCTGGTCCTGGGGCCTTAGTGGCGCAAGGCTGCCCTCTGCTGGCCACCGTTAGAGGTCTGCGGACTGCTCTCCGGGTGGGGCAGGGCATCCTGCAAGGTGGATAGCGGGGATGGGCCCCAACTGCATGGCCCATCAACCCCTCTCTCTTTTCTCCCCTCGCCCATTAAGTGTGTGTGTAAGCCCCACCCTAAGCACTGCACACCCATGGGCACAACAAACCCCCAAGCTGAAGAGTGCCATCCCCTTTCCAGATGCTTGCGAGGGGGTCAAATGACTCCCCAGATCATAAGCAATGACATTAGGCTGGCTTTATGGGTGTGTGACCCGTCTGTGCTCAGAAGCACCGCCCCACTGCCAGGTTTAATGCTCTGTCACCATCTGGAAATTCTCCATAGCTTTTAAACAAAAGACCCCACATTTCATTTTGCACAGAGCCCTGCAAATGATGGGGCCAGTCTTGCTGTTAGTTAGGGCTTCAAACCAGAGCTGCAACATGTATGTGTTTTGAGGATGGTCAACTGATGGGAGGGACAACAGGAGTGACATGACAGCTTGACCTTATAAGAAATTCTGACATGATCTGTTTTGTCTACCTAGAAGTGGGTTTCTTAGTTAATTTTGGTTCCAGCTAGCTTCCCTGAGGTCCATTTGCCTCACATCTGCATACCTGCACTGCTCGATGGGTACCAAAGGGAACTGGGAGATAAATAAGACACAGTCCCGGGAGGCCCCAGGGTCAGACAGCGGGGGAACCTGAGGACAATGTGGGAAGTGTTAAAATAAAGCCACGTTTAAAGCACTTCAGGGATCACGAGAGAAGGAGGCTCCCTCCCTCTCTTTGAGAGAAAATTGACTGAGGCTAGTTTTGTCTGAAAGGGGATAAAGGCTGAGTAGGAGGTTACCAGGCAGAGATGGGAGTTGGGCTGGGGACACATTCCAGTTACACTGTGTGGGTTTTTCCACACCAAGCCATTCCCTGACATCAGCTGGGTGTCCTACCATTCAGTTCCGTTCTGACACTATCTACCCAGAGACAGCATCAGGTTCCACAGGTGAAGGGCTCAGTCCCACAAGACTCTCTCCTTCCTTTCAGACACCGACTGCAAGGCCAGGCTGCTACCTGTGCTTCTGACCAACCGGCTGCAGATCAGAGGTTCCCACGTCCCCCTCCTGGGGTTCCATCATTTTGCTAGAGCAGCTCCCAGAACTCAGAGGAGACGTTTCACTTACCAGAGACCAGCCGGGTGGGAACAGGGTACAGGCAGAGGGCGGGAGCCTCCACGCCGGCTCCAGGCTGCCAGGCTTCCCAAAGCACGTGTTCACCAACCGGAAGCCCACCGAACTCTGTCCTTTTGGTTTTTTATGGAGGCTTTAGGCGTGACTGACTCAATCACTGGCCGTGGGTGATGGATTCAACCTGGTTGAAGCCCTTCCCGGTTCCCAGAAGTCTGGTGGGTGGGCCTGAAAAAATATGCCAAGCCTCCGATCCTGGTTGGTTCCCTGCAACCAGCCCCGCCCCCAGGTGCGTTCCCAAAGTGGCCACCTCACAGCAGTCTTGGCTCTGGTTGAAAGGGGTTTGTTTTAGGTGTTGGGACACCCTGATAGCTCTAATCACTTAGGAAATTCCAAGGGTCTTAGGAGCTCTGTGCCAGAAAAGGAACAAAACCTAATATGTATTTCTCATTATAAAGCACAGTATTACGGGGGTGGAGGGGTGGAGTGGGTGTTCCTGGGCTTGGAAAGTGGGTGCTCACAGCCTGCTCTGCACACTCCCTACAAAGAGTCCCTAGGGTGATTCAGAAATCATCTAATTAAAAACTCTCAGATGGAGAGAGGGACGGAAAGGGAATAGAGATACGCTAAAGCAGGTGCATTAATGGTGCGATCCAGGTGGTAATACAGGTGCTTGGTGGAGAAATTCTTTTAGCTTTGCTGTACGTTTGACATTTGTCAAAATGTTGGGGAGAATGGATTGTTAATTCAAATTTGTTATTTCCCTCTTTCTTTTGCAATGCTCAGTTTTTCTTAAGCGTCTCTTTGATTACCAAAGTTGCCAGCACCAGAACAATTACTTCCTGCAAGCAAGTTGTCAGAGCCTCAAATGAATTTTAGACCTAATTTAATTCCCGGTTTACTTCGTCATGAAAAAAGAAACCTTCATTTCTCCAAGCCAAATCAACCCTTGACATACTAGTTAAGATTTCTTTAAAAAAGCTGGTTATAAAGTGCTAAGCCGATCAGCCAGAGACAGTTGGGATGTGTTAATGAGTTCTGGGAGAAGAGGGGGCTCAGGGCTTCTGGGCCATGACGCTGATCCCGAACTCCGATCCAGGCCGGCCCGAGACGTGTGTCAGGACAAGGCGGGTATGCCCGTGCCGAAGCTAGCTGCTCCAAGGGGCAAGGAAGCCTGGTTGGGTCTCGACATGGGTGCCACGGAAATGGAGATAAAGAACTTCCCCGCACCACTTTCCAAGTCTGAGAAGCTCTAAGGAGCCTAGCAGGGGGCGGTCAGATGGATGCGCTCCTGCGCTGTGTGGGCGACACGTGGCCGCACTGCAAACGCCCCTGGGACTCCAGCGAAGGTGTGCGGCGGGGACGCCACCTGGGAGGCTTCTGCTCAAGGCTCACTGTCCGTCCTGCCTGGGCACTGCTCACCAGCCGGACCGGGCCAGGGGCAGACACCCGGCCATGCTGGGCCACTGAGAGCCTCTCATTACACCTCTGCAGTGGTGGCCCCAGGGAGGGGAAGGGAGAAACTGAGGCACAGTGTTGTGGGTTCAAGATATGTTGAGGTCTGAACCCCCCAGTACTGTGAATATGACCAATGGAAACAGGGTCTTTGCAGATATAATTCTTTCTTTTTTTAAATTATCCAAATAAAATATTTATGCTTGGACTTTGGGCCTAAGCATTAAATGCTTTCCTTTTTACCAATGAGAAGGGAAAAAATTCATGCATTCCTTATTTCCCTTAGGATGGATGATTCTAAAATAAAGATAAATGAGAAACTTGTTATTTTTTCAAAACAGCAAGCATGATTTCTTTTTGAGTGTATGAAACTATGCTTAAAACCCTCCAAAAGTTATTTTGAAATATAATTTTACAGATATCTTTGCTATTAGTAAAATCTTGTTCCTCTCACAAGTGAAATTGTATTTCAATACTTATATATTACAGAATTATCAACCTGCTGTGGGAATAGAGAAAAAATGTGCCCAGATTAAAAGAATACACTTTCACAAAAATAAAGATGAATGAATAAATTACTAGTTTTTAATAAATAATCTCCTATTGAATAACTTCTCCTGGTAAAATTATTTACCATGCTCTTTAAAAACTTTTTAATCAACTGAAATGTTCAGGAAGCTTTAAATGATTGGATATCCTTTTGTGGCCTAAGAGTTGAAATGATTTTTTTATTGAAGTACATTTGAACAGGAAGCAAATTGATTCAAAGTGATTCGCGGCGTCGTGGAGTGAAGGCCCTTCCTGCACAGCTCCTTGGGCTGGAGGGCGAGCTCCTGACTTCACAGGGCCGGCAGGGCCACGCTCTATCCCAGCGCTCGCATGTTCTGGGTAATCAAGAATGAATTCCCTTTAAATTACCTTAGGACCAGCCCAGGCCTGAGTGACTCGGCGTGAGGAACTCCTCCGTGCTGTCCCCTTGCTCTGTGCAGTGCTTCCCTGTGCAGGAAACAATATGTAAAAATAACCTGGGGATTAATCAAGGACAAGGATCCCAGCCGCTGCCCCATGTGTCTTGGGTCAGGATCTAGAAAAAAGGAGCCGGGAATCTGCGTGGTGACCCGTCCCCAGGGCCTCTTAGGTTTACACTGGTCCGACCCCCAGTCCCCGGCTCTCACTGGCGAGCAGGACCAGCAGCCCCCGGAGAGCGTGCTGAAACAGGCTGGGGGCCCCAGCCCCGATCCCTGATGAGAGGTCTCTGCCTCTCAAGGGGACGGGCTGATTTCTCACTAAGGACATTGTTCTGCATTTCCAGATCCCAGATCCCAGCGCCGCCCAGGGCCTGGGAATGCTGACATTGCTGGCCTGGGGCCTCATGTTAAAAGCCAATGCTGTGGGGTAACTGGGAGGAAAGGTACTGTCCTGAGGGATGTTTTAAGTCCAAGGCAGAACAAAAGCCGGGAAACCAGTGGAGGTGGGTGCAGTAAGAATGCGGGCTGTCGGAGCTTAGAGGCCCTGGCTAGAGGCCGCCGCCAGCCTCTCAGAACCAGGACCCAAGGTGGGGGTGTCTGAGGAAGTTACAAAGTCCGAAGAGAATGGTTGTTCGTTCCTAAGGAGGAAAAGCTTGACATTTCAGTGCCACGAAATACTGCGTCCAGGAGACAAATCACCACATCAACTGAAGTTTCAAAGAATTCTACCCAATTGATTATATTACTTAGTAGCAAAAGAGATTCTTTAAGCTCTGGACTTGCCACACAGTAACTCATTAAAGCATTACTGACAAATCTTGCCCAGAATTGTTCTGGAATACAGATTAGTTCAAATAAACCCAAGACATTTCTGGCAGAGATTTACAGTGAGGAAGATTTTCTCAGTCAGCGAGTCCAGAAATTCTGGCGGGGAGGGTCACGTGGGGTCTGCCTCTCGTTATGGGGAGGACAGAGTTGGGTCACAGATCACTGTCACGCCTCGTCTGTGCTTGAGAAAATGTGATCGGCCTGCAAAGAGCATTTACTGCATTTCCTCTTGATGCTGGCCAATTGTACGTGTCACACAATCAACCTCCCAGACAAAGGATTCTCCTAGGAGGTCTGGCCACAGTGATGAGGGCTCATGGACCCCAATGCCAACTTGTGGGAATCATAAGGCTTTTTAAAAATTTCGCTGGCAAGCCAGCATAATTTTGACAGCTGTGTTCAAAGAGGCCTTCTCTTAAAGATTCTTAACCGCAGGCCCGCTGAACACAGGTCCCGACAGAGGAGCATCTGAGCTTGGCTCACATTGGAGGTCTCTGACTCTCAAGGGGACTGGCTGACTTCTCACTAGGGACACCGTTTTGCAGCATTTCCAGCTCTGCAGCCTGTGTACCAGGCTGGTCCCAGGCTTCTGTTCCATGAAGAGTTTGCGCCTGTCCTTTGCCTCATTAGGGTTTTGGAGCAGAATCAATCAAGTGGTCTCTGTATATTTTTAGGAGGATGTATCATTAAAAGAAGCAACCATATTTAAATTTTCAGAAGCTACTCTTCTGCTTATTATCCATAGCCTATCAAAATTAGCTGAATTTTCTTGTGCATAATAGGCCTTTAAGAGATTTAATATTTGAAGTTTCTTTCTGGAAACACTCGTTGGGTTTGATGGCAACTTCTAAAGACCTATAAAAGGCAATAAGACTACAGTGGTGGTTCAAGAATGGGTTTTTTGAGAGCCGATTAGAGGCAGAAAAATTCCAGCTGGAAAACTTTTTGATGAAGGCAACAGCCTGGGAGTGTTCTCAGGAGTTAATGAGATGGCTCAGGTGAAGGCACCTAGTGTCGTGTCCATGTGGGCAGCGATCAGGACGTGAGCTCACGCAGTCCCGTCTGGTTAACCAGACATCACCTCTCAGGGAATCAGAAGCCCTCTGTGGTGGTACCATCCAATCGCTGAAGCAAAATGGCACATGAATTGAACTGAAAGCCAGCTACTGTGGGCCAGTCTTGGCTGTCCAAGTTGGCAGTGTCAGCTGGGTAGAGAGAAGGTGGGCAGAGTCCCATCTAATTTGCTCGGTGAGTTACGTGTACCCTCTGGGGTCCAGGAGCTATTAGAAGGGGCCACAGGCTGGACGTGGGGTGAATCAGGAATGGTTGAAGCTGGGGCTCTGCCTTCTCGGCACTGGGGAGGCTTGGAGCCAGATAATTCTCTGTGGGGTGGGGGGGCTTTGTGCCCTGCAGGGTGTAGCACCCCTGGTCGCTCCCTGCCAGACGTCAGCAGCACCCCCAGCCCCCAGGGGTGACAGCCGAAGATGAGAATCACAGGGTTCAGCCTACCAGGCAGTGAGGGAGCAACACCTTTGGGGGTTTTCTTCATTAGAAAGAGAGGAAAGGAGAAAGGCTTTTGCTGCCTCCGGGAGGCACCAGGTGGCACCGACCTGGGCCCGTGTGGCGCTGGGGAGCGTGCGGGGCCCCTCTCCCTACGGCCGCTCCGCCTTGGGAAGGGCTGCTCGCCTTGCGGAACGGCCCAGCCTCCTTGGCTGTTACCTGCTGTACCTGCCTCCAGACCGCGTGCTCCGGAATCCGGGCTGCTCTTCATTACTGGGGACCAGCGCCGATCCTCTTTGGCAGGCATTTTGCCACTGATCCATATGAACGATTGGTCAGAGTAAAATGCGCCCCCAAAGTAGGAAACCATCTTGCCGATGGGTTTCAGCCCCGACTAAGTTCACTA